ATACTCTATCGTTTTTACAAGGAAAACGACTTTTTCCTCAAACAAAACTCTTATGAACTCACCAACTTAATTGTTGACACTTTTCAAAACTACTTGTATTCTCAGGAAATCAGTGAAACAGGAAACCAACAGCATTTTGAGGATGGGACGTTAAATCGTCAAACAGTTCATTTTGTCATCATAATGTAATTAATTTTGAAACATGTAAACATATACTATGGTGTAACATTTTCAATTATATTTATGATGGTTGTATTTACTTTGAGCACTATTATACTCGTTGTTGTGATAGTATACACGAAGTCCTCCACCCCCGGACGTTTCCGCCATCCTTGGTTTGGGGGTGTGACAAATACCTAGCCTCATAAATTTGTCTTTCAACTCAAAATCAAGCATCACAAATTGCAAGAAACTTCACAACTTTGTCCATTCATCTTGAAAAGGCAGAGCATCGCACGAATCCACACAAAGCATCGTAGCTTCATTTATCCATTTGTAATGTTATATTAGTTTAAATAGTTACATTTGAAGTTTATCAACAATAGTTTAAACCTTTTATATAACATGTGAACCGGTAGATGAAGATTTATTTTTAGTGATGTGCACTTATAACTTTTTCCTTTTGTAAGATATTTTGATCACAATCAAATCTTACGTACGCTCAATTATGTGTCCAATCATGTACTTGTGCAGTGGAGACTATTGATCTTGTTCTGAGTTAATAGATATTTGGGTCAGGATCACTATTTGGCGAGGCTTATCTCTTCCGACTCAGCTTTCGGTGCAGTCTTTAATCAATTGGTCGGATGATGTTAATTTGCGGAGAGGTCAACGGAAGGTGTTTGATGCGGTCATTATCACTTCTTTTTGGTGCATTTTCGCAATATAGCTATTTTTGGAACGGTTCTCCCAAAGAAGTCTCTACTTTTTTATGAAGTTGTTGAGAAGTCTTCGTTTTGGGTTTCTAATAGATGTAGTAAAGTTAAGTTACATTGGACGTTGGACTGACTCTTTAGCTACTATTGTGATGTAATTGTTTTTTCTCTCTAGCTTCTTGCTAGTTTTAATATAAATTTCTACCGTTCCAAAAAAAAAAAATCTTACGTACGCTCGCGATCCTACAAAGTGAAACACAAACCTCGGTAAAATATGTTTTGCATGCAACTAATATCAACTTTTTTCCTCAAAGCTTTTTTTTATTAATACAACTTATTTTAGGATCAAATACGTCATAAGGTTAAATGCATAAATCATTTTTAATAACGAAAGTCCGACGAATAATCGTTGTAGAAGAAGGCTAATAGACAGAGTTACTTTATTATACCAAAGGGTGTGGGTGCGGTTTAAGGTGTAAACGAGTCGAGTCAAGTACTGTCATGCTCGAAGCTCGACTCAACTAAAACACTCAAGCTCGAAGCTCAACTCGAGCCTAAGTTTGAAGCTCAGAATCGGCTCGACTCGACTAAATTTAAGAAAAATAAATTGAAATCATTAAATTTGAATTATAATTAAAAATGTTTCACGTGCTTTTATATTGTCCAAACTAGCAAAATATTCACAATAAACCATTATGTCAATATAACATCAACTATCTATGTCATTGTGTTACATACATCCAAAATACCAAAAAAAAAACATTATTCAATTAAATATAGCATGAATAATTCTACCATCAACAATTTTTTCAACGGTAGCAAAAAAAGTTATATAGTAACTATAAAATATTTAAAAATATACAAAGAGTGTAAAAATGTAATTTTATAAATATTCGATTAAGCTTGTAGGCTTTACGAGTCGGGTATTTTATTACTCAGGCTTGAGTCGATAAGGTACTCGAGTAGCTCGGCTCGATAAAAATCGAGTCAATTTCGATATTTGTCGAGTTGGTGTAGAGTTTCTCGTGAGTTAGTTCGTCTCGTTTACACCTCTAGTGCGGTTGCACCAACGGTTCCGCCACATCATCAGCCAAAACACTGCCCCACCATGCGGTAGGAACCATGGTCTCTCTCTCTCTCTCTCTCTCTCTCTCTCTCTCTCTCTCTCTCTCTCTCTCATACCACACCTAGTGTGTGGCAAAGAACCACACTTTGTATGGAAAATTTGACAAAACATCTATATGACGCTTGCGTGACAAAGAAAAAAAATATGGTTACGAAGACACCACACGGTCCATACCCTCCGGCCTTATAGATATTTGTTCAAAAATATCTGTCGACTTAAGTCCTCAACAAATTCACACGTGAGCCAAAGCCCACCATGCATAGAGAAATAAGTCAGTTGACTCATTCTCATTGCTACTGTGAGTTAATCTAAACTGCTAGTGTGTGTGTTAATCTAAACTTAAGAAAAATAAAACAAAAGTCTTGTTATATTATTTATAAAAAGCCAAATAAATAAATTCAATGCGTCTTATTGGTTTGTATTTTCATGCTATTTTTTTTATCAAGGGGTTATCAGAGTACAATATACTTTAAATAATTTATGAACTTGATAATTTGTATATTTACATGTTTGGGACTTTCACTCTTTTGCTTTACGTTTATATTTTAATGAAATGTTTAAGTTACCATAATATAATATGCTGTGAGAAACATCTTTTATCCTAAAACTTCTAAATGTCTATACAATGCTATAATTAGACAGTAAAATGAAATACGTTTTCGAAATATAACTTACCAAATAAATTAGTTTGCAACAATTATGAAAAACTTTAAAACTCAAAAAGACATGAGTTCCATTTTGGATAAACACTGTATTTCATCTTAATTGTCTTGTTTAAGATTATTAATATATCATAACTTTGAACCACATTAAAGTTGTTTACATGATTTTGTTTTGAGGTATTAGTATTGGCCCCGTAATCCTATTGTTCGTGTGCAACCCCTGTATCTAATATCATATACTTGAAACAATTTATAGTAGTGAAAAAAATAGAGACAATATTATTAAATAATAATATACATTTTATTTATTATGTAGTACATCTCTCATTATAAATTCTTGGCTCCGCCCTTATAAATAAAGAGCATAATGTATTTAGCATTATTGATTTTAATAATACTTTTAATAACTAACTAAACAAGAGTTGTGTGAGTCACTTACGCACTATACTTCTCATCACCAACACTAATGCATAATACATTTCTCATCTCAAATATCATGTAGTAAACAAAATCATAAACTAACAAAACAACCCAACAATAATATCTTTGTACCCAACATATGATCATGTAATATTCAAAAAAAAAAAAAAACAAAACAAAACAAAACAAAAAAAACCTCAATGTTTTTGGTCATTCTAGTTTCCACTACACTCCAAGTAAGTTTTTTTGTTAGGTATAAATCTTCATAATACATTTTGCTATTATATGTTGGAAACCAACAAATATCTTTATGATTTTATAGATTTTGACTATTAATCCCCCACATAACTACTATTCTTATCATTTTATTCAACCAGAAACCGATCTCATCGAACCAAAAACCCAAAAAGATGTCTATCTTTAAGGCTTGAAACCGAACTTTTTCATTTTTAGTAAAAAACCAAACCGAAATAATCTAAAAGTGGTCACTTTTAAAGCTTTATATCACTTATTGAAACAAAGATTATAGAAGCAAATTTTGACAAGAAAAAGGTATGGTCCCCAACCCACTAAGGCACTAACCCTACACCACAAGTTCACATTCTACAACTAACCGCATTGGACCATAACACCAACTGGGCCTGGGTTTGATCATTCATCATTGGTGTGAAATGAATTCATGATTTATGCCGTAAACTTTACAAACACTTCTATGACCAAACTACCCCTAACCCCATGTGCTTCAAATTCATCTTTTTTTCTTCAATTCATCAAATGCATAAGAACATACTCAACACGGTATGGAAACCATACAAATTGAACATGGTATTGGTAGAGTAAAGTGGAACATAGAATTGTTTATCGACAAGTTTGTGGGCATGTGGTTTTTGTATTTCGTTCAATTAAACCATTTTGTATCGTATGATTCCAACTTCTTAATAAAAATAATGTAGGGTTTCTTAGGATGTGTTTTGTTGTGTAAAACTTTTATTAGTTTTCATGGAAAAGTTTTCTGAAAAAAAGAAAAAGTGGAGATTTTATTTTCAGTTTTCGGTATTTGGAAATTGTATTTGATTAAAACTGATTGCGTTTTTATTTTTTATTTTAAAAAAATTAAAAAATGTGTTTCGATGGACATTTTCTATATGGTATTTGACATATTACATACATAACAATTAGCATTGTTCTTAAGCACATCAAACTATAGTTATCTAATGTTTGTATTTTTAATTTGCATAATTACATAAATGTTTCTTATGCGATAGTAAAATTACAGAAATGGTCCATATGTCAATAGTCAAAACTACATTAATGGTCTTATCTAATAAAAAATATACATTTGAGAAAATTATTAGACTAGCCTAAAACACTAATTACTTACTCATTTTTAGCCAAAAATTAGCAATTGTCTCAAAGTAGCCACAAAATAGTAGACGATTAGGGTCGCCTACTCTTTCGCCCTAAAACCTACGGTTTCGGTTTAAGTATTAAAAAAAATCATTTTTGAAATCAGAATCGTAGGTTTTTAGAAACCTACGGTATGCTCTCGATGGCCTACGGTTTTTAAAACCGGTTCCCTATGACTATGAAGTAAGGTATAGGTTGTTTCCAACAACAACCAGAGAGACTTCATTTCTGGGGAAGAACATTGAGTCTTCCAAATAGTCAAAAGAATCAGACCATTGTAGTTCAGTTAAAAAGACGTTTTCAAAAGCAATCAAAGAGAGTTGGTTAGGAGGAAAGGAAGCCAATGACTCCCCGTCTTTCTTATTTAAAGAGAGTGAAATGAGCCAGTAGCTCTGGGAAAGAAGCCTCCTCGGGCATTGGGTGCTTCCCGGGCCTTCTCACCAGCCTCACGTCATCTTTCTTGGCTATCCTTTTGGCCAAATCTTTTCTCTCTCATATATGATCTAATTGTCATGGTTCCGCTGCATCACAAGGAGCAATTGTGAGAAATAGCCATTCTATCACTTTGAGATCATGAGAACCTTGTGAATTGATATAAATTATGGCATGCATCTCTGAGTAGAGTGGCATGGCCAAACATCATCCCAGAAACGAATCAACTTACCATTGCCCAACCAAAGTCTAGAAACGGTAGCTTTCATGCCCCTCCTGCCTACTGAAATGGATGTGAATGATCGTGACAGCTCTTAAAATCCTATTCAGTCTGATTAGGTAAACCAACCGCACATTGCAAGCGAAGGACTGAAAGCTACTCAGATATATAAAAAAAAATACGGTTTCTGTATGAAGCTTACGGTTTCATATTTTTTTCGGTTTTTCTAAAAAAAACGAACTCTATGTATAAAACCTACTAATAATCAACAATACGATAAAATCACAGCAAAAATCGACACATACCTAGGTGTTCTTTGAAGGCTCCATTGAGAGAAAAGAGTAGGAAAAACTAGAGCTGGCAAAAACTGACCCAACCCGAACCCAACCCAAAAATTAACAGGTTAGGTTGAGATTTTCAACTCATTTAGGTTAACTGTGTTAACTCGCCTAACTCATTTAATTAAATAGGTTGGGTTGGATGAAAGTTACCAACCCGTTTTCAACCCACCAACCTATTTAACTTTAATATATATTTAATTTAATAATTATTTAAATATTACCATGTAGTATTAATTTATAAATAACAATGTTGTATTATTAAGAAATGCAATCCTACTTCCTTTTTTTTTGCGCCCACAACACTAGACACTCTTCAAAATTACATATTTTTAATGTTATTTGAACAATTTCTTTGCATTTGTGAATTGGGATTGTGCTTTTATTATACTTTGAAAGTTTATTTAAGTTTGGAACTAATGTAAGTGGTCTAATCTTTAGTTAGTTTATTTACTTTTTTTATTTTAAACTCGCAAAGAACTCGCGGCTACACCGCTTTTGGGGTAATATGGGGAAAATCGGCAAACTTTAAAAAATACGTGCTGAAAGTGTAAATCACCGCAAATAGGAGAGAAAGTCGACAACCCCTAAATTAGATGTCCAAAGTGTACGACAACCAAAAGAAGGGACACTGGTGGAGAAAATCCAAAAATGTTGTGGCAATAATGTGAAAGTTGCCAAAGTTGAGAAAATATGGTGGCAAAATTCTAAAGGAGGTTTTTTGTGTTTTTTATGTCAAAATGTAAAAGTTTTTACTATAAGGACGAAAAGTGTCAACTTAAGATTTGTGGCAAAAACACCAAAATATAAAAATTTTCACTGCAAGGACGAAAAGTGTCAAAGTTACTAAAGATTTGTTGCAAAACCCTAAAAGCACAAAAACTTAATCAAAACACAAAATAGTAAAAGTTTTCACTTTAAGGACTAAAAGTGTCAAATTCACTAAACATTTGTGACAAAAACCTAAAGACATAAAAGTTACTATTGCTAACTTTCTTTAGATATATATATATATATATATATATATATATATATATATATATATATATATATATATATATAGGATGAGTTACCGAGGTTTAACCCCCTTTATTTAATAGGTTGGATTGTAATTACATAAATGGGTCAATCCGGCGATAACTCATTTATCTGAAAGGTTGGGTTGAATTGAAATCTTCAACCCAATTAATAAATTGGTTGAACCCGAACCCAAATCATGTCGACCCATTGCCAACTCTAGGAAAAACCAAGAAAAAAATAGGAGAAATGACATAATCTAAAAAAAATGCATTTATATATTATGGACCGATGGACACCGATAGAGTAGACAGACCACGAAAGAGTAGCCCATTGTCCCGAAAGAGTAGTCAATTTTACTTTTTTTCATTAACCTTAGTCAAAGGGTTGTTGACCATAGACGATCATAATCGTCTACGGTTTCCGTGGCTACTTTGGGATAAATGATATTTTTTGGCTAAAAATGGATAAATAATTAGCATTTTTGGCTAATTTAGTAATTTTCTTCATACATTTTGTATTATTTAAATAGTTTAGAAATAAAGTTTACTTTTGAAAATTTTGTTTAATGGCTTTGTCAAAATTAAATATTTGATGGGTGAGAATGTGGGGGTAGGAGGTTGTGATTTTATAAAATTGAAAATTATTTTTTTCTTAGAAAATTTTTGAAAAAAATATTGAACAAAACATGTTTTCTAACTTTTCATTTTTTTTTAAAAAAAAAATAGAACAGAATAAACTTTTCCACGTCCAAACACACAAATGTAAGAGATTGCTAACTGATTCAATAGTTCCACTTAGAGGTTATCAAAGATTCCCCTCAATGAGATTTCATTGCCAATTGGCTTCACAACGAAAACTTTCTTAGAAAGCTTGATAAAACAAACGTTAATTTCACGAAAAATACAACTTTTGTCACTCAAAAAGATGTTTCAATTCATTCAATTTAAATTTGTATTTTCTCCCTTACAATTATTACGAAGAAACATCTAACATAGATGAACGCTTTCGATTTCCTGTTTGTAAAAAAAGACATAAATGACCTCTTTATCCCATCAACAAAATAGCATTAGAAAACTTGTTGATTAATAAATATAAGCCAAAAGAACACCCATATATATACAATACCATATATATTTTGCTGATTAATAAATAATACTTGAAGCAGAATAACTTCCTAAGCTCCTGTGTTGGCTATAAAAATAAATAAATAAACAAATTGATATTTCATAATTAAAAAGATAAGAAGGTATTAAATTAGAAATAATTCTAGTTATTCATATGAGTAAAAGACCATTCTGCCCTTTTGTTTAGAGTGATGCTGAGGTGGTAAATGATGCATGTCTAAAGTATGTGTTGTATATACAAATTTCTCTTTCCTTTTTGGACTGAATAAACTGTCTGAATGTGAATAAATGACCATTCTACCCTTCTACTTTATGTCAATAAATGATGTGCATGTATAGAGTATGTGTTGTATATACAAAGTCTGTTTTTTTCTTTTTTGTACTGAATAAACTGTCTGAATGTGAGTAAATGACAATTCTACCCTTCTATTTATAGTGATGTTGTGGTGGGTTGTGAGCAAATGACAATTCTACCCTTCTACTTAGAGTGATGCTGGGTAAATTATGTCGGTCTAAACTCGAGATCATCTGTTGTACACACAAAGTTTGTTTCTTTTTTTGGACTGAATGAACTGTCTGAATGTGAGTAAATGACCATTTTACCCTTCTGTTTACAGTGATGTTGAGATGAGATAAATCTAGAATATGTTTTTGTATACACAATATCTAGAGTAAGTGTTGTATAAACAAAATCTCTTTCTTTTTTGATAAACTGTCTGAATATGAGTAAATGACCATTTTACCCTTCTGTTTAAAGTGCTATTGAGGTGAGACCTGTCTAGAATATGTGTTTGTATACACAATATCTAGAGTAAGTGTTGTATAAACAAAAAATCAGTTTCTTTTTTGATAAACTATCTGAATGTAAGTAAATGACCATTTTACCCTTGGAGAAAAGTAATCATCTAACCTCATCTTTTGTAGCGCAAGAGATTTCATTAAAAAGAGCATCATACAATGATGGCAGAAGCTGAAGAGGGAGATATACAACACGTTGTGAGATCAAATGTCCAACATCAACTGCTTTCTCCCCTATATATGATTTTAAATTTTCTTTTATTCCTTTTTCTTGACACTTTGATATCAAAAACTCTTTCACTTCCATCATACATTTACAATCCTGGATTAAAAAACAACCATATATTATATATTCAAAATCATATTTCTTTATTAGTTTCTGTTATCAAAGAAAAGTGGAATGTGAATCTTGATAAATGATTAAATGTTGCAAATGAATATTTTTACCTTATATCTTTGTAAATTCAAAGCAGAAACAAAGCCATAAACTGATTCATCTTCTATTTTAACAACTGCTCCCACTGAAGTTTGTTGTGATATTAAGTCAACAAAACTGGTCAAATCCCATTCTTTATTATCTAAATAAGTCTGCATCAAGACCTTTACTCCATGGAAATCATCAGGCTTTGGGTCAAAGAAGAGAAAAACTTCTTGAACAACTCCCTTAACAAAAAAAAACATAACTTTAATAAAAAGTAGAAATAAAAACTTCAACTTATTAGAAGGGTGAAATGTGAATAAATAAATACCTCAAAGTCATCTTCTGAAGAAGAATCTTCATTTTCAGAAGAAGAACATGACACTTCTCTCTTTGATTCTATGGTATCATGTTTCTCCTTTTTTCTACCTGTAAACATGTAAAATTTTAGCTTTTCACGATTCATGAACAAAAATGTCCATTTTGCCCTTGGGGAGAGAGAGAGAGATCATGCCTGTGGAGTTGGAAGGGGCGTTTATGTCATTTTGCTGTTTGACCTTTCGTGTAGAGGAAAGTAAGGCCATGGAACGACCTAAGCGAGAGAAGGTGTGTTGAGGTCTTTGTAAATGGGTTCTTCTTGTTGGCCTACGTGGCATTATAATTATATAGAAACCTAGAAAAGTTGATGAATATAAAGATAAAGATTGTAATATTTAAAAAGTGTAATATAATCAGTTAATCAGAGCAATACTCATAGGCATGTAAATGAATCCATCCAAAAGTTTATGTGTTTCATCTTTGCCTTTTAAGTTAAGACTTAAGTTTATGTGCATCCAAAAGTTTTTAACATGGCATTGTAAGTGAAGACAGATATCTCATTAGGGCAATTTATCAAGCATGTTGATGAAAGTTATTCGAACAAATCAAGAAGACGACTGTTGATGAAAGTAGTGGTGGGTTCGTAGAGAATTAACTGTTTCCTTAAGCTTGTGCTTTGGGTCCATTATGATTACAACGATTTCGTTTTAGCAAAACTCGTATAAAGAAAAAAAATATATCTCATGGTCTGAATAATCAAATTACTTTATCAAAATTGAACGGAATTTGTACCTGATAAAATCAATTGTGTGTCGAGAGATGAAGGATTTTTCCCTGAAAGCTCGAGGGAAGGCGAAAGACGGCAAGGACGGCGGTGGCTCCGGGTACGGGGAAGAAGGTGCCGCCGGTTCAGATTACCTCGAGGAGTGGATTTCAAGAAGGGAGGAGTATATCTCCGGCGACGCTGCACGGGTCGACGGAGGGAGGAGCACTTCTCTGGTGGCCGGCGGGTGGAAAAGTGAGAGGGAGGAAGAAGCGACTTGGAGGCGTTTTTAATTAGCCAATAAATAGTTAAGAGATGAAACAAACAAATGAATCTATTAAGTGTCAAATTGTTGGGCTGATTTGTTGGGCTAAACCGAAGGCCTCTATTTAAAAGAATCTATTAATTTTTTTATAAAATGTTTAGCCCAAAATTAGAATGTAATAAGAAAATAAAATTTATATTTTTTTAAATGGAAATCTAATTTATTCTTGAATTTTGAATCCATATATGTTTCAAATGAGACTTGAATCCTAAAATTCTAGATTTCAAGAAGGACAAATATTGATCGGCTAGAAGCACTTTGATAATTAAAACCTACATGATCTTTGTGTTTTTAACTATATTATTGGAGATTACTCTTGTTTGTCTTCTTACCATCGGGTTTATGTTTTAGATCAGAAAAAGAAGATGTTAGTATTGGAAAATTGGTTTTAATCAATTTATAAAAATGAGTTCTTTTCAGTTTTTGAGATTCGAACCTTAAAACATTATTAAAATGTCTCATTTATCGTTGTTTTGGTATATCACACATCCAAAAAATATTTAAATGAATGAGAAATTAATTCATGAGATGATAGTGTTGGAATAAGTAAATAAAAGAGATTATTGGGTGAAAGAAAGAAAAGAAAAGTTAATGGGCCTTTCTTCAAATATTCTTTCTTTTTGTAACTGGAAATAAACAATAATTACCTAATTAATCTTGTTATTAATATCTGCATTTAATCTATGTCGGTTACAAGTTTGGCCTATAATTTATATGTATAAATAGAGGTTTTGGGTGACTAACTGGAACACCCAAATGAAAACAAAATTCTCTTCTTCTCCGGTTCATCTTCTTCATTTTCTTGCTACATTGAAGGTATAATCCATATCTATATAGTGTTCGGGTGGTCTAGAAGAACCACTTCAACTTGTTGTATCTTAGGAAACAAACACCGGGTAGCAGACAAATTTGTTTGTAAGGATATTGTGTTAAATACATGCCTCAGCCTTTTCTATTTTTTGTTTGATTTCATACATTTTCATAATATAATTCCTACAATTTTAAAACAAATTCGTTTGTATGAAACGAACAAAAGAAGAAAAATGTTTTATGCATTTGTACTGCTCATTTTTCACAACAAAACAAAAGAAAAAAAACAATTTTGATGAATCAGAATTTCAGTATTTCAAAATTTAGTATTAGTTTTCTGATTCATATTTTCTAGATCAGATTTTCAACATCAAATACTATATCAGAAAATGCATTAGATTTCTGAATAAGATTTTATATCAGAAATTACATCAGTTTTATTCGTCGGGATTTGTGATTTTAAAAGTTTAATATCACCTTTATGCATCAAAAAAATTTGTATCAGATTTTGTTTCAAAGTTTTGAATTTATTTTTTGCATTAGTTTTTTATCAAAGTTTCTGATTTAAGATGCATTGAATCAATTTTCCGCCCACAAATCTAAAAGCATCAAAAGACTTTCAGATTTTAAGAACTTCACATAGTTTCTAAATTTTGATTTCAGCTTTAAAGATCAAAATTCAGATTCCGGATCTTTGGATTTGTTTCAAAATTTTAGTATCAATTTGTATTGTTTTATAATCTATTTATTATTTTGATTTTTATCCAAGTAAGAGGCAGAGATAACTTCTGAAAATTATAATTCTAAACAATTACATTTGGTGTTTAAATTTTAGAAATGTCATCATCTAGAGTGGAGTGATTTCTGAAGTAAATTATACTGGATGCTAACTCTATGAATGGTGAATTGATACAGGTGCTACCTGTCAATGTGTGTTAAAAAAGGGAGTGGTTCAAGAACTTTAAAGTTATGCATATATTCTGATCTTGTGCATGTTGAGGCAGAAAATTATTTGAAACTGGTGATTATAAATACTTAAATTTGGTGTGTAACATTCATCGTCTTGGTAATTTACATCTTTGATCCCTTAGTATGAAAATTGTTTGCAAAGTTGGTCTTTGGCACTTAAATGAGAAACGCGGAGTTGTTTGCTTACGTTGGGCGTACCCAAGCGTACGTTGAGCGTGTGTGGTCGATGTTTAACCTTAATTTTTTAGGTTTGAGCCATATTTAAGCATCATTAACTCCCAATACCTTCTCCCTCCTCAACCTCAATTGCCCACTTCGTCCCTTACAAACCCAAATCTCCATTTGTGGTGTTTTGAGCTCATTTTTGGTGTTTGGTGTCCACTTTTGAAGGAATGGAGCCATTAGAAAGTAAGGAAGGAATTCCAAGCTTTGTATATCTCATTAAATCTTGCTAGATGTGGAGTTTTGTGCTTATTAGTCCCATAATCTTTGTCTATCTGGGGAGGAACTACTCTGGACCAAATGAGTTGTCATTTTGGACGTTTTAGAGTGTCTTGAGTTATAAAAATGGGATCTTGATTGTTCACATCCCTCCATGCATCCATTTTGGTGGCTTAGAACCTTAGGATAAGTTAGGGTTTTGGTGTTGGGCGTTTAATAACAATGCAATATCACAAATGTAACTTCTGGTTCCTAGTATGCATTTAACTCATTAATTTATTTATTTTGGAAGGGTAACTCGATGAGTTGGTGGCCCTAACTTGACGAGTAGAGGGCAGATTATGCGCGAGGTTTAAGCTATCTACTCGGCGAGTAGATCGGCCCGAGTGAAACCCTAATTTCGGGGTTTTGCACCCTATTTAAGCTCCTTAATCCCCACCCCTTGGCCTCATTTCTAGCCTCCATGTCCCAAACCCTAATCCACGAAACCCTAGAGCTTTATTTGAGAGTGTGAGTCATTTTTAGTGATCTTTGTGTACTTTTGAAGCTTGTGGAAGAAAAAGAAGATAGAGGGCTCAAGAGAGAAAAAGTAGATCCAGAAACTTCACACCATTTGCTACATTTTCTGGTAATCAAGTTTCTATCTTGGATATTAGTTCATTAAATCTCTTTATGTCCTTTTTATGAGGGTTTTTGGTCCAAGAATGATAGCTTTTGGAGAATGATCGATCCAAGTGGGTATTCTTCCAGATCTAGAACCTAGAGGGCCTGAAATGACATAAAGGTGCAAACTTTATGCCATTGGAGCCCCCATGCAAGCTATAGAGTGTCATATTGGCTTTTTTAGCCCCAAAAGGCCATGCATGTGGAAAAAGGTGGAAACTTTACGTGTCCAAGTAGTGTTAGGGGTGTATATCTTAGGTTGTAAGCTTCAATTGGGTGTATGGATGGCTTAAGGACCAAGTTCTAGGTCCCAATGAATTAGGGTTTGAGCTAAACCCTTTAAGAAGAGGTATTAATGGGTAAAGTTAGAAACTTTACCCTTAAAAGGACATTATCAGGGTTTATGTGAAGTGTGAAGCTTGGATCTGAAGTGTAGGGGGTTAATCCATTAAGATAGCCCAAACAGACAAGGGAACTCGGCGAGTCCAGAAAGGGACTCGACGAGTTGAGTCGGGTTGTCCCGATTCCATGTTAGGTAGAACTCGACGAGTCTATGAAGGGACCCAACGAGTTGACTCGGTTGATCATGAGTCTGAGCAGTATAGGAACTCGTCGAGATAGGAGGTAACTCGACGAGTTGAGTCGACTGGGAGTTGACCTTGACTTTGACTTTGACCAGGACGTTGACTTTGATTATGGGTAAAATGGTCATTTTACCCTAAGAAGGATTATCAAATTTTGATTAAGTGTTATTGTGAAATTGATAGTCGGGGAGTCGTTGGAGCAGCAGTCAGAGATTCCTCACATGCGATTTCACAGCTAGCATACGAGGTGAGTTTCCCTCTAGTAGGAATGGGTCTAAGGCACCAAGGTCGGCCCATTTAGTTAGTAGTAGTTTCGGGCTATGGTCCGATGCCGGGCGGGGCCCGATGTAGGTTTATATGTTTTTCCGGATTTCGATCCGATGTCGGGGCGGTCCCGAGGAATGCTTGTATGCTTGATGTCTTTGTGATTCTTGCATGTGTTTCTACTTGTATGTTTCCGGACTTCGGTCCGATGTCGGGGCGGTCCCGAGGAATGTTAGTATGTTTCTGGACTTCGGTCCGATGCGGGGGCGGTCCCGAGGAATGTTAGTATGATCCGGAATTACGGTATGATATCGGATGGGGCCTGAGAAATGTTTAAATGTTAACGATATATGCTTAGGTTTATGTGTATTATGTGATTATGCTCATATGTATTCCGAGATGTGCTCGATGTCGGGCGGGGCCCGATGCCGGGAAAGCCGATGTCGAGCTTGACTCGATGTAGCAGGGGCGAGGCCCCATATATGTTTATATGATATGTGTATGGTATGTGGTAGTTGGGGAGACTCACTAAGCTTCATGCTTATATTTTTCAGTTTTGGTTTCATGTACTTCCGCTAGTAAGGGGAAGAGCTCGGGATGACTGCATGGCACACACCACAGTTTTCAACCTGGGATGTTTTAGACTCTGATATTTTGATACATGGTTTTGATACAGTAATTGGATACGATGTTTTTGATATATGACTTGTGATTTTATTATGATGTGGTTGCATTATGGTTTTCTTAAATGAACTTAAAAAGAAATTTTTGGACTATATTTTTGGGATGTTTCAAGTTGGTATCAGAGCCTTGGTTTGAAGGATTCGGACCCACTCTCGGGTGTGTATGAACTCAAACTAAGGACTTAGTATGAAAATTTTCAAAAGAAAATCATTTTTACAAAAAAAGTTTGAAAAGAGAAAAGAACTTTGAAAAGAGAAAAAGGGTGTGGTGAATGCAATCAGCCGAGCTCAAGTAAGTACTCCCAAATTACCCATACAAGTTTATGTTATGATATGTTTATGAGAACTGCATGCTAGATTTGGACTAAGGATCTAGGAAGGATGCCTTATGTGCCTATTAATCTATTATATGTGTATTAGCTTTATGAGAATTGCATGCTAGATTAGGAATAAGGATCTAGGAAGGATGCCTTATGTGTCTGTTATATGTATCTTAGCTTTATGAATTGCATGCTAATACAGATTAGCCAGTAAAGGCCTGAATGAGATATGCTTGATTATGTTTACTCGATGCTCAAATGTTGGTTGCTTTGTGCTTTTAGGAGTTCTAGTTATCTTTTACTAACTAGTAAATAAATATGTCAAGTTACATATTGCGAGGATTAAATAATTTCAGAAGGTTAGGTCTAGCTCTATTGTGCAACTCTTGTTTGAGTCCAACCGTTGTAGGGTAGGATCTCCCATTCGAAGAATTATCTAGACTTAGTGATATGTAATAGTATTATTCACAAGCTAGTTAGGGGGAGATAGCAGGTACTTCTTATGCAGCTGATGGCGGATAGTGGGTTGGTGAGTACCCTAGGGCAAGCCTAGGATGAGATTAGCATGAGATCAGCAGTAGTAGTAGAAAGGACTTGGTGG